GAAGAATTGCTATCAGTAGTACCTATATTAATTAGACGAGCTTTCAAAACAAACTGCAATGAAATCGGTCCAGACAGACACAATACACGCGGATAGGCCGGCAAAGACGTACTTATGACGCCCCTTCTTTTTCGTCGAAAGCTTAAAAGTTTAAAAGTACTGTTACTTATAAATAAACTTCAAATATTTCTTTAAATTTTGAAAATTCGCATAATTTTATGAAATACTGAAACTTAACTTTAAACTTGAGTTTTTGTGCAACCGATTGGGATGAAATTTTTGTATGTAGGGAGGGTATGATAACGGAAAATGTAAGACATTTTTTATCACATTTCTAACTATTTGTTGAATAAAACATTTTATAAAAGACATATCAAAATTATCAATTCTAGTAAACATACTTACTCGAGTACATTAAAAATATTATTAAGTACTACCAACTTCCCTCGCTTTGCTTGGATGCGTCCCTAAGCTCGAATGGTGTAGGAAATCATAAAAGACAAACGTCCAAAGAAACAATATTTTTTTGCGGCATGAACCTTCGCAGGCTTAACACCCACCAGAGTTTCATCACAATCGGATCAATGTTTTAGGAACGCATAGAGGACTAACATACGAACATTCATTTTTATTTATATAGTCAAGTATATAGAAATTTTCTAATCCAAAACAAGTACCGACGGGTTTATTATAAGTAGGTATAGAGTAAATGAATAAAGTTACGACAAATAGAACCCTATAGTATTTCATATTGTTAACAAAAAACTTTTTAACAAAAAAATAAAAACTGCCTTCCAGGCACTAAAATGTAAAAAATAACTAAACGGAGGTTTTCATTTAGAATAGATACCTAATCAGCTATTTTCGAAGTCGGTGCCATGCCATGCCAATTCCTGTACTTCATGATATGGCCGGCTAAAACTGACCACAACGTTTAAACGTCCATGATATCAAAGGTATAAATAAAAATTACAAATAACGAAGGAACTCATATTACTCTTGAACTGATATTTTTCTTGCACTTCCAATTCTTCTGATACTGTCCGACGTCAATAATTTTCTATATATAATAATAATGAAACTGTCACCAAATTTAAAAAGCATTCATTAAATTAGGGGTTATGGGTGTCCCCCCAACGTGCGTTCACCTTATCGTGGTAGGGGGGCTCAGTAGTGCCCGGCAATACAGCCGGGCGCGAAGCCAAGAAACGCACAGGGAGGTGGCACTTCGGTGGGCGGTGTTCGGCAGATCAGCGGTCGGGGCGTCGTGGTGGAGTGCTTAAGCGATCCTGCGATGCCCCATTAAGACGGGGGAGGTACCGTTGGGTCTTAGTGGGTAGTACTGGCTTTACCGGTGAGTCCCTAAAAAGTATCCTATATGTTGACCCGGATAACCATCTATCATCATACCAAATTTCATCAAAATCTGTCCAGGGGTTTTTTCGTGATGCGTTCTCTAAGTGACAGACAGACAGACAAAAATTCTAAAACTATATAGATTCGGCCTCTGTATCGATAATAATGACTATTTCCATAGGATTTTCCAAAAGAAATTTAATGTACAGATTCGATTCAGTTAGAATTTTATTATATGTATAGATTATATAATTAATTATAGCTATATCCGCCTTTCTAAAGACCTTCACAGCTTATATTTACCATTTAAGTATCTACACTGTCGGTTGCACTTATAGAAAAATTCTATACATGATGTGCATTATTTGTTAAAATTATTAATTTTTCAACTGACTTCAAAAAGGAGGAGGTTCTCAATTCGACTGTATTTTTTTTTTTTTTTATGTTTGTTACCTCAGAACTTCGTCATTTATTAACCGATTTGGACAATTTTTGTTTTGTTTGAAAGTGTATACTTTCAGATTGGTCCCATTTAAATTTCAAAAAAAAAATACCACCCCTAAGGGTGGAAAAATAGCTAATAATGAATTTAACCTACTTCTAAGTGTCATATTGACTTGAAACTTTGCAAGTGTTTCTATTTCCGTTGATAGTACAGTGGTTCGGTATTGTTGACCTGATCTGATGGTAAGGCCAGAAGGTGGATAGGTGGAACTCTTCAATGACTAATAGTAGATACTTTGAGTTTGGGCTTATTTTGTTTGGTTTGACAAGCCTAACACTTTAAAATTCTTACTTTGCTACTACTGTCTACACTAAAAAGGGAAAAATAAAAACTTTTTAACAAAAAAATAAAAACCGACTTCAAACAAAAGCACTAAAAAGTAAAAAATAACTGGTTGGTAGTTTTCATTTACTATACATACTTAATCAAATATTTTCGAAGTCGGTGTGCTTTGCTTTGTATGGGCTGGCACCGATTTCGAAAATATCTGATTAGGTATGTATTTAATAGGTAGGCTTTAATTTCTTAGCCAAAGTATAGTAAATGAACACTACCAATCAGTTATTTTTTACTTTTTAGTGCTTTTGTTTGAAGTCGGTTTTTATGTTTGCTATAAAATACTGTATTTATTTGTTTCATTATTCATGATCAACAATTTGAAATAATCTAGAATTGAATTAATTCTATATGTATTAAATTATGAAGTTAATAGCAGTACCCGCGGCTTCGTTCGCGCTAAAACTACAAAAAACTAAAAAAAATATCTAAAAAGGTACTTTCATATAAACTTTCGTCCTCTATTTTACGCACTTATAGGATGAATTTCGAAAAATGCTAAAACACGTATTTATTTAATTTATTAAAGAGAATTAATACCAAGTTTCAAGTAATTCTGATCAAAGATATTTTTTGGATTGTATTATAAAGTGATTTCATGTGGGAATTAGGTTACGGATACTTATCCATCTCTCCGTTTCGACGTAAAAGAAGGACACACAAACAAACAAATAAACAAACAAACAAACAAACACACTTGCACATTTATAATATTAGTATGGATATAATACAGCCAGACAACTACGAGTACATCCTAGCAATGACTAAACTAAATCATATTCGCATATAACATTAGATACTTATACCTTTTTAAATTTTTAGAAATGTTCATACGAATTTCATTTCAGACAGTGTCACAATATTTTAGAAATATACATTTATGTACGCTTTTTCTATAAATATTCTAATGTTGCAATTTTGTCTTTGTCGTAATTTAAAAACACTCTTTGTCTCACGTAATTTTTCATCGAGCTAATTTAGATGTTAATATTGTACTCTGAGAGAAAAAACCTGTTAGGTAGGTAATTATATCACAAGATATCTCTGATATATACTTTGTATCATCATAACCTTATCTTTTGCAATAAAATACAATGTTATTTATGGTTTTGTACTCTGCAACTACATACAAGTAAGTACATTCTTCAAGGAAGTATGAGATACAAACACTTAAGGAAAACAAACACCAATTAAATAAAAAATGTATTACTAATAAGTAAAACTTTAAAAGATATCCAAGTAATTAACAGCTTACACCATCACAATGATCTGTAATTAGAAACAATTATATTTATAGATTATAGTCTTATTCTAAAACAGTGGCGGTGGTAGAGTTGTTATGACATATTTTTTCTTTCCCTTCCCAAAAATTTATAGCTTGATTTCTCTCCGTAATAAGCGTTTTTAAACTGGTTGGGGTCTCAATCATCTGATGGTAAAGAAGATTAAGAAAAAACATGCTTTGAGCAGAGGCTATGAGCAAAATATACTTACACAAAATATAAAGGGTATACCTACATATATTCAATCTTATGTAGGTATGTATATATTAACATTTGGATCGCAGTTCATTATGACTCACAATGTTTACGCTTATTCAACGGCATACGTATTATTTAATCAACTTGAATAAAATAATAAGTTTTCCACAATATACATTTAATATACTTCTTACTTTAACTGCCTCGGTGGTGTAGTGGCTAGCATGTACGGCTGCACACTCGGAGGTCCTGGGTTCGAGTCCCGGGTCGGGTCAAGTTTAGTTATTGAGTCTTTCTGTATAGTAGGTCTCAGTAACAGCCCGGAGTTAGGAAGTTGGCGGTGTTACACCCCCGTGCCTCGGAGAGCACGTAAAGCCGTCGGTCCTGCGCCGACACTCTCACTGGTCGTGTCTCGTGTCGTCCCACCGGAGTAATGAGAGTGACAGGAATAGAGAGTGCACTTGTGCCTGCGGGTACACTTGTGCACTATAATATCTCCTGCGTAACTAGTTGGCTAGTCTCAATGAGATTGGCCGCCGTAGCCGGAATCGGTCAGGAGAACATCATCATACTTCTTACACTTAGGGGTTTATTCGTATGTCAAATAAGATGAAAGGGTAATTGAGTAAATTATTTTAAGTTGAAACACTTATACCGCGATAAAAATTATAACTTCATGGTATAATGCCTTTAAGTACATGTACATGTTAAATTAATTGATACACAAATAAATCTACTTTTGTATTATTTAAGAAGTACTTATAAAATTAAGATTTGATAATATTATTCAATGTATGGATTTTTTCAGAGATGCGATATTTTCCTGCAGTAAAAAGTATCCTATATGTTGACCTGGATAACCAGGTATCAACATACGAAATTTCATCAAAATCTGTCCAGTGGTTTTCTCGTGATGCGTTCCCAGATGGACAGACAGACAAAAAAAATTAAAAATATAGATTCGGGCTCCGTATCGATAATTGAAACGATTAATGTCTATTTCAATAAGATTATCCAAAAAATATTTAATGTACAGATTTATCTCAGTTAAATTTTATTATATGAATAGATCAAAATCCTAAGTTTTCGACAGAGACATTGTCATTACTTTAGACTTTATTAAAACAATGCGGTGTGGGCCACAGGTCACTCAATATAAAGCCTTCACCGTACCGATCAGCGTACATACATACAGCATACATACATACATACATAGATATTGCGATTCTAACAAATTTTTTTTGTGCAATTCTGTACTATTAAAGTTTTATATTCGTATTTAGGTATTATATCTAAATTTTAATATGACACCTTTATTATCATAGAGGGCAATATTTAATAGTATGCGCTTGATCTCCAGTGGCGCCGCAGCGTCGACATGACAAGGTTCGAAGGATGGGACATTTCACACGACCCTTTCTGTCTTTGAGAGCGTGAGTTGTATACCATACTTCTGGGTGGCCATTGTTTTTGCAAAACCCACATTCCTAAAAGTAAAAATGCACATAATATTGTTACTTGTTTTATACACGAATTACTGAGCTAATTTAAATGTATCTTTAAATGGTTGGGAGTTAGAATCAGATTCAGCAACTCAAAGGTAAATAAGCATCCCCGAATTAAATATTAAAAAATAATCAACATATATTATTTTCGAAAATATCAATTTTGTAACTATTTATTATATCAACCTCACAAAAAAATAGAAATTAAATGAATGTGAAAATCGTCAATTTTAAATAAAATATTTTCAATTCAAATTTATGTGTGTGTATTCTTTAAGCATTTTTTCGTTATATTTCATATTTTCGAGATTACCTGATCCTCGCCTGAAAATTGAAATGCAATTTAAAAAATCTTTACCCTTGTAAGACAAGGCAATAAGAGTCGAACACGACTCTTATTTTTGTTGAGACTTTAACTACATATATAGTAAAAATATTTCTCTTACCATAGTTTTTTGTAGCGACATACGTTGTTGACGAAGTGTTTCTACATATTTCATTAAGAGACTGTATTGCTGTGGAGACAACGAAAAAAGCGCTGCTCGCTGTAAGCACATTGCATTTTCAAAATCTGCAGTTAAATTAGTTCCTGCAAAAAGATGATACTGTTTAAGGGCATTGTTTTAATTAAATTTCCTAATAGATTTTTTCACTGCGGATTTGATGCGGATGGGATTTTCAGATTTTGTCTCATATTTGTTCCCTCACTCTCATAGTCCGATAGGACGAGAATCCGACAAGGTAAAACTGGAGAGAGACGGACGCAGACTCGACGGCTTTACGTGTTTTTGCTTATCAAATTCCGGTCATTACTGAGATTTTTTTGCTAGAAAAATCTAAGTGCCTTGCCCGATTAAAAAACCTAACTGGGATTCGAATCTAGACTCTCAAAATCGAATACACAACGAGAATAAAAAAATAAACATATTCTTCGATTATTTGTGTCCCTTAGTTTGTCTGTCTGTAGGTATGTGAGTTTATCAATAGGTTTTAAAAATTTGGATAAATATAAGTATTAAAAATTCTGTCAACTAATAAAAATATATAATCTTGATAATAACTTTGATTTCGACATATTATTAGAATAACATTGAGGGGTCACTTTGAAATGATTCTGATTAATGGCAATTTACATGTCATAAATATTTACGAGTAGGTATATTGGGCAAGCAAAGCGCGAATAAGTCCTCGTCAGAGAAATTAAATTCGCTAACTTTTGTTTTTGTGATTGAAAAAATCTATTCTAATATTATAAATGTGAAAGTGTGTTTGTTTGCTTATTTATTCTTCTTTCACGTCAAAACAGAGTGACGGATTGGCGAAATTTTGTGGAAATAGTTGGAGGGCTGGAGAGTGACATAGGCTACTTTTTACCGCGGGAGATTATCTTATTCTCACGGGAAAACACGTTATATATAATACGACCCAAAAAATATTTATGATCAGAATTACTTCAAACTTGGTCTTCAATACAATTAAATATTTTTTTATATCCTGTTAGTAATAAGATAATTGCGATATACTATTTAATATTATAAACCCTCATATTTATAAAATAGGTCAGAATACAATAGAATCCTTAACGTTTTACTATAAAATAAAGATCTATTCATGTAATATAGATACCTTTTGTCTTCTTACGTGGTTGTACTTCCTTTACTTCTTTTAGTGGTTTATTACGGTAATCATTATTGTCAATAGTCACTTGTGCTTCCAAGACTGCAGGGTCCAATTTAACAGCAAGTAAAGCATCTAGTAAAAAATATATTTCTATTTAATTATTAATTACATATATGCAAACCTTTATTTATATTTATACAAAATACAAACAGAAGTTTAGTTGGGTTTTAAATTATGAAATTTTAAATTATGGTATTCTTGGGTATAACATTGGACTCAGGTTTTCAGTTGAGCCCGCATCTCTCATCTCTTGCGAGTAGATTGATCTCCACTGTGTTTGCCGTTAAGAAAGTCAGGCAACTAAAAGATGTCGATATTGCATCTTGATTTACAGAATTTTGTTGTGGGGTAATGCAGCTAATGATAATATTAAATCTATACTTATTCTCCAAAAAAGAGCTATTAGTGTAACATTGGAGGTCGGAATACTCTACGAGAACTTTTTAAGAAAATTGGTATACCTACTTAAGGTTGCATCTCAATAAATACATTGTAATTTCATTTCCGTCCGACAAAACCTCCGTTGTGTCCTACTTAAGAAACAGTGATAGACACAAAATAAAAACTGAACAAACTGATAACACCAAGCTTTCGTCTTGAAAAAATTTTTTTTAATAATTTTTAGTAGGTAATATACCAATAATACTAGCGACTCACCCCCGCTTCGCTCGGGTTCGTCCCTAGGTAAGTTTTAACAGTTATTGTGGATTAATTAGGTAGACTATATATAAGTAATTAGTATGTATGTAAATATATATTATATTATACACATAGGTATGATGAGTTTTATATCCCTTACACGAAAAATGATTGGTTCCCAATACAAACTTTCACCAACCTTTTCAGCCCCTTAAGGGATGATTTCCGGGTTAAAAACTATCCTATGTCCTTCCTCCCTAGGACTTCTCAAACTATTTTTGTACCAAATTCCATCTAAATCGGTTTAGCGGATTTTTAGTTTACCCATTACGAACAAACGTACAAATTACAAACATACAAAAACATGTACCTATATACTCGTAGTAGTAAAGATCATTTTTTTTATCATTTAAAAATAATAATGTTTCTCATTATATTTTTTCATTTATAAACACGTTTTATTTTAACAAACAAATAAAATAAAATGAAGTTAAAAGTGGTATAAAAAAATCATTAACATTGCTACCATAGCAATAAGAAGTGGTATAATTAAATTTCAATGTCAAATGTTAAAAAAATAAAGAACTTGTAAATTTTATTTTATTCATAAAAAAATTAAACATAGCAAAAATATTAATGCATTTTCCGCCTTTAAAATATTTTATGTATGTTATTAGCGGCAATCTTTATTATTCAGGTATTTATATACAGTACCCAATGTACCTATAGAATACCCGGGACGTCCATGTATGAAATATTATAAAAATTATTGTGCCTTACATAAAAAAATAAGTTTCCTAAAGCATGTGAGATATTTTTGAACAGGTCTTTGAAATTAAAATTGATGTTTCTATATATATTTTTTTAAGCTAAGCAGTTAAGTTAAGTGGTAAGTTAGCGTAAAGTTAAGCTAGCTAAGCGTTCAAGTTTCAATAGTTGTAGTCAAAAAAATATTTTGAATGTTTTTTTTAATTTCCCACGTAAACAGCATATAATCCCAAGTTTTTGCCTCCCAGTACTTTGACATCATGACGTCTACTTATCGAGTCCGCTCGTATAATAATATAATTTAAACAATAAGTGCTACATACCTAAAGGTAAAGGACAAATGCAGGCAATATAATATTGAAATAGTGGGTAATATTTCTCTCAGATTTTTCTATAAAAAAGAAAAAAATACTGACAAAGTAAGTTTACATCGCAAATTGAAAACCTTGACCTAGTCTTCAATAGCGCGTGGGTGAAACAAATTTTCTTTGAGAGAAAATTTTATTGATTTTTATGTATATTTAATAAAATCTTGTTTTAAAGATGTAAACTGATTTTATACACATAAATATAATCTACTAACTTAAATAGTCCTTATTGTCACCTTAGAATTTTGATGATCGGTGAGTGAGTGAGTGACGAAATTAAAGAATTTTAAAATGCAATAGTTCTTAAACTGCGGGCTCAAATTGAATGTGAATTGGGAAAATACCTAGTTATATTATATCCTCTTAGCCACAGAAAATTCAGGCTTCTAGCTTTATCCACAACGAAGTTACAAGGCGGGTCGAAATGTCTTCCGTCAACTACCGCGGACACATCGATGTGTCAGTTAACAATTAATTTCTATTAATTTCTTAGAAATTTACCTGGAGGAGTTAGTAGCTTCGAAAAAAGGACGTTAACGGCTGTGTCCAGTTTTGATCGACTTGGCGGGGGCACTTCCGTGCCCCCAGATATAAAGACCAGGGTATGACGAACTGGTTTTTATAGAGAAATCATGTTAAGCCACTTAAGTAGATATATGTAATTATTACCTATTTTGTACTCATAAGCGAAATAGGCGAGATGCAGGATGGACCTTAACGATGTTGTTTGTAATTGGTGAAGTAGCTTTCAGGGTTAGCACATGTCTTTTTGTATTCAAAAGTTCCCTCTTTAAAAGTTATTTGTTAACTCTCCGATATTTTTCGTGAAAGATAAAAATGGCCTAGTAAAGGATGTAGTCTAGTATGTCGAACATAAAGAAGTATTAGAATTAAATTAAGAAACAATTGCCGCAAACTCTTCTTTTTTTGTGAATATAAATGTCATGCTAGTTATTATATTGGTATATATGTAAATGTTTTTTTTTTTAACTTTTACAGTTAGTTTTATAGTGCTACAATTTATTTAAAAAAATATTACTTACCAGTTTGAATATTTGTGTTTCTATTTTCTCGTAAAACAGCCAATTTGGAAAGCGAGCTCTAAAGAAATTATTTACATTAAAGATAGGTTCTTTATAATATAATATGGCAAATTAACTTCCATCCATCCATCCAACAATTAAATTAACTTCCGTCAATAAATATAAAAAGAATTACAAACTATTTGTGGTATTAAGTATTTTAATGATGACTTGTGATTGATAATAATAATGGATTTACATTACTTTTATGGAAAGGGAAGCTCAAAGAATATACATTAATTGCTTACTTGACTAATTTGATTAACTTAAATAATGACGATTGACGAAGTTATAATGTTGTCATCAAAAGATGGGTATGAGCACTAAGGTTTACTGAATGATGATTAAAATTACTCAAATCTTGGCTAATTTTAATATTAAAGTAAAAAATAATAATTACACAATTGTGATAGACTGATTGACTCAATATTCATGACTGATTTAGTTTAACATATCTAAATTTATAAAATAAAACAATTCAATGTAATCTCATCAAAAGAACAAGCTGACTAAATAAATTGTAAAATATGTAACAATAGGTACATACCACGTAGGACAATTTGGAAAATATCCCATCTAATGTATATCGTTCACAAAATGAATTGTTATATATGGCTGTAATATCCATAATTATTACAGAGATACGCTACTTGTTTTTTTTTAAATATCTTAAAAACTCTAAAATGGTTCGCTTTAAATAAAGTATTTATTAAAAATGAATATTACATAGTTTTGTGTGACTACCTTCTTTATTTTTTTAAGAAATAAAATATAATTAATAATTATCATTAAAATTATGACAAACGAAAATAAAAGAATAGGTCAATTATACATATTATGTACATAAGATATAATAATAGTAGTAAGTTTAATGTATGTACTTTAGTATTGTTAAAATAAAAAAAACAATATTATTTATCATCTATAGTACTCACAGCGCCATCTTTGGTAATTACATAAAACTAGATACTTAACCCTGTTTGCTCACGTGTAACATGAGTAACTATTCCCCAATAGATGGCGCTAGGTACTAAATGAATATTATTTAACAAATTACACTTCAATATTAACTAAAAATCAAAAATCTATATCGTTATTGTTTATAAATCATATGTTAAAAAGTATGTAAGCATATTTATTTTAATAATATTTTGTTATACATTTTTTTTAATGTTGGCTCTACATTTTCATTATTTAAGTTAAATAAATGATTAAGGAGTGTTTTAATATGGCAATAATGTTTTTATTATTTATACTTTCCATATTAAATTAAATATATCAGCTTAGTATATTTTGCATATATAAAATGACAATTTATTTCCGTACTTGATACTTCATTATCGTTAAGACTTGAGAATAGAGACGTGCGCCTGCGACGAATGATGACAGTAGAGCGCCATACTAATCGTAATCGACAATCGTGACTTTGATGTAACCAAGTGCGGTCGCGTTTCTCCAGGGCTCATTGTAGTTCGGACGAAAGCCCTTAATAGTTCCTATTCAAATGTAGTCCCCTTCGTGTGATCTATATTACAAACCTGAAATCTGAGTGGAAAATCGATGCACACGTAAGTACCTTATCATATTTTAAAATTACTCATCGTAGACATATTGCACAACTTCCAATACAAAGGTTTTTTTATGAAAATAAGGTCAATTTATATATTTAATAGCATACACTACCTCTTTAAACAATTCTCAATCTTGCAATATCTTTCTACTTACCCACTTTCTCTACAGTTGTTATTAAACCTGTTGGCTTTAGTTTCATAAAATTTCTCTCTATATTTAACGAAACCTATACAATTTTAGCTATTTGAAAGCAATGTAATGTAAAAGAACTATGTTTATCGAATCATGTTATTCCTTATAAAGATTTGTGGTCATTGAAGGATTTTTAGAGGAGCTGTCTAGACGTGAGGCACTTGACCTCAATCGGTTTATGAACCGAATCTCCCGAACAATGTCCCACGTACTATATAACACGTGGTAGTCATATTTAGAACAGTTGCTTGGCAAACGATTCCTTTACATTCTACCTATTTAATTTATATTTTGAGTAGTTCCCTTTCTAATCAACAGTATTCATATTTTATATTACTAATCAGTTAATTATAGAACTCTACATAGAGCTGAATAAGTATTTTTACTTAATTTAGTGACAATCTGAAAATCGATTTTATATTTAAGCATAATTCGTGTTCTTCAGGAAATATTAATTATTTGTGGCCTGCCTTGAAATATCGGAATTCTGTTAAATTGTGCTAATAGATACTATTCCAGTCCTTATATACTATTTGCCAGTACATATAAATTGCTTTTATAAATAATACATGTCGTGTAAAGTAGCGTAAGCTAAGTGAGGTTTGACCAATTATATTGTTATCGCATTATCTATGCTATAACCATGTGTAAGATAAGATTTTATGGCGTATAAAAAATTATGGAAAAGTACCTCCGTTTATAATTAAGGAAAATTTTAAATTAAGCCCTAAAACGCTTATTGCATATAATATTCTATTAATATAAACTAATATTATAAAGAGGTAGAGTTTGTGAGTTTGTGACGTTGTAGGGAGTAAATCTGGATCTACTTAACCGATTTAGATGAAATTTCGTAAGAAGATAGTTTGAGACCCTGGGAAGGACATAGGATACTGTTTATCCCGGAAGTCATCCCTTAAGGGTGTAAAAATGGGGATAAAAGTTTGTATTGAGAAGCAAGATGGGACGAACCCGAGCGAAGCGAGGGTGAGTCGCTAGTCAATAATATATTAATTACTAAATAGTAATTACTTATATACGCTTAGGTTTATTACGATTCAGCTCCGTTATTAAAGGTTTTTTATTTGTACTAAAAACTAAAAATATAATAATATGGAAGTTTGTAATATTTTCACTATACATAATTAACTAGAAAGAGAGAGAGAGAAAACAGAAAGAAGATATTTTTAACATCTACTCTTAGCGTAAAATATAAAAATACTTATTAATTATATTGCACACGTATTCTCTCTAATCTTTAATTTATTAGCATAATGACCAAATTATTAAGCAACCATTTTAAACAATGATTGATACTTGTTGCGACATTTATTTAAACACTAGTTATTGTTAAAAAGTATTTTTAAGTTTAGTTAAAAAGTATTATAAATATATGTATATTATAGGAATTAGTATGGAATCGATTAGTATGGAATAGATAGACTACATTCGTACATAAGCATATTATATACATATCCATATTGTTCCAATCTTGCCTTACGGTGAAGGAAAACATCGTTAGAAAACCTGCATGTCTGAGAGAACCTAGCAAGTTTTCGAGAGACATGTGAAGTCCTCCAACCTGCACTTGGCCAGCGTGGTGCACTATGGCCTGATTCTTCGCATTGAAGGAAGGCCCGTGCCCAGCAATGGGACGTTAAAAACCGCCGAATAAAATACAATACATGTTCATAAAGCGGATTAATGAGTTGACAGTTTGTAGATGATGTAATTTTATTTAGATAAATGGAATGCTCGTCGTTCAGAACAAATACACATCCAAGTCGTAGTAGATAGGTTATAAACATAGTTGTTTTTTATATAATATATTTGTAATATTTAATAGATATACTGATTTAAATTCACTTAATATACTTAATAATTTATTAAATAAACAAACAGTGTATAATTAGCCTGTCATCATGCTCAAACTTTTAGGGTAATACCCATATTTGCACAACCCTAATCTATCACCATTTATCTGTGTAAAACACTGTAGAAAGTAGATTAATATATGGAAATTAACGTTATTTTGTAAACATTTAACGAAATCAAATGAATTTTCTTTCAATATAAGTTAGTAGATGTGAAAATTAAAACAAAAACCAATATTATTGAAAAGTTTCATCAATATCCATTCAGTAGTTTTTACAAACATACATTCTTACAAACTTTCGCGTTTATAATATTAGTAGGATTTCAATTTCGTGGTATTTTTTTGCTTTATACACTTTTAGTGCCAAAAAGTAAAGAAAGTGGCTATTATCTTTGCCAAACTACGCATTAATGTAATTAGAACAATATATTTTCTTATGATATCGTTAATTACGTGTAGTGTCTTACTGACATGTATATTTTTGTGCTGCTTAATCATTTGAGTTTAAATAAAATAAGAAAATTGCTATTATTTTACGGTTCTACGAGTATAGTGTCTTAGTAAAATATTTACGAGGAAATTTTAAAATGTTTTTAATGTCAAAGGACAAACTATTAAATACTGTGCAACTTTCATATTTTATTTCTATTAATATAAAAATATTTACGTTATATATACATATATATTTGTGGTTAATTAATTCAAACAACAAATTATATAGTTAAAGATACGGGTACTTCGTACGCATGTACCTATCTACCTAAAGGCTGAAAGTTTTATTCTTTATATATTTTTCCCATAGGGTTCATTAGTACAAAACAAGTCAATAAATACCATATTATTGAGGATTAATTTTAAAATATACCTTAAGAATAAATTAATATAAAACCACATGCATAGATTTTTTTCAACCGACTTCAAAAAAGAGGAGGTTCTCAATTCGGCTGTATATTTTATTACCTTAGAACTCCGTTATTTATTAACCAATTTGGTCAATTTTTGGCTTTTTTGAAAGTGTATATTTCCAGTTTGGCCCAATTAAAATTGGAAAAAAAGCACTCCTAAGGGTGCAAAAATAAGCTAATTTAAAAATTTTACCAACTTCTAATTGTCATATTGACGAGAATCTTTGCAAGTGTTTCTATTAACGTTCATAATGTAGTGAGGGATTCGGCATCGTCGACCTGATCTGATGATAAGGCCAGAAGCTGGATAGGTGGAACTCTTCAACGGCTTATAGTAGATACTTTGAGTTTGTTTGATTTGACAAACCCAATACGTTAGAATTGGATTTTAGAGCCTAATTTTTAGAGTTACTAATAAATGCGAATTTTAGTTTCTCAGTTTTCATATAAAATTGGCATCAAACTAACTTAAACGGCTTTAGCGAATATTTAATTAAAATATTTTCTTCTTACTTCGCTACTACTATGTCTACACTAAAAATGAAAAAATAAACATCTAATAAATAAAATAAGAACCGACTTCAAAAAAAACCTAAAAGTTAGTAGGTAGTTTTCACTTGCTATAATACCTAATTAGATATTTTCGAAGTCGGTGCCAGTCGATACAAATCAAAACACACCGTAATTCAGCACACCGTAATACAATGTAATTCTAGGTAGCCTGAAACCTAGTTCTCACTAGGTAGTAAGAAAGTATTTAAATAAACCTGACTATGTTTGTTGCAGATCAGTAGCGGTCTAGATCAATCGACCGTCCGCCACCGTCATCAGCAGTTTCATCCCGATGGGTTGAGAACGCCGACATATTGTGTTTGTGGGACACACCACTGACGCTGTAAGTATTTAAAATGCATTTGCGATATTTTAAATAAAAAAAACTTCTCTTTTATTAAGTTATTGTGGAAATGTTAACATCTCTCAGCTATAGAGCGACCTTTTTATCAGTTGAATATGTTGAGGTAATATTAGTAAAAATATACAAGTTTTCACTTTGCGCTATTAAGCTTTAGATAAACTTTATTT